CCCCAAAACCCCAAAACCCCAAAACCCCAAAACCCCTAGACGATGGAGGTTAGTTGACATAAAATTTAATTGTCTAAATATAAGATTGAAAGTATGAATAAGGCTGATTCTTTCTTTTTACAAGAGTTGAGTAGTCAAATTCCAGCCTTTTCCCACCCACGCTTTTGAGTCTTCTCCTGATCCTTCTTTTCTTTTCTGTCTGGGATTTTGGCTTCTGGAGAGCTGAATTTTGGGGATAGAATTTAGCTAAGTTTCTACGTTTTAGAGATCCTTTTTCCTGACTTTTTGTAGTGGTATTTCAAATTTGGTTCTGCGAGGTATTTCCTCCAATATTAGAGTAATCTCTAACCTCCCGCATTGGCACATGTTCATCAACTCCTATTTTAGTTATGGTGAAGGTATCGTCTACTTCTGAGCACTGAGCATCTTGTATAGAGTCGTAGGATCTTCCGAGTTTAGTAGGACTGGAGCAAGCTGAAGAAGGTCTTACCCTTCTTCCATTCCTGGTGAATCTTCTTAATCTCTTATTTAGTGTCTTTCCCATTTCTGACCTTTGCAAGAGCGAGCTTGTATCTTGACTTTATGTGTCCATAAATTCTACCGCCTGCAGGTCTCTTGAGAGTCTTCTCTTTGCAGGGCATATTATGAAAGTTTTCAGTTGTCTTCTTAAAATTATCATTCAATTTTCAGACTTCCTTCGCAATGCCACTCTGGCATTCATTCAAAGTGCTTAGATCAGGAATTTTATTCGTTGAGAATGAAGATTTGGAAGCAAGAGTTTTAGATTTCCTCCTGACCTTTTTCTCCTTAGTTTCAATGTTGAAGTTTTCCTTCGCAAGTTTCATTTTGGAAAGTTGTTGGGTAAAAATTGCATTTCCCGGATGAAGCTTGTTCAAAATCGAGTTTGATAGAACATCCCAGCCGATTTTCTTATTGTTTTTCGCAAAATTACAGCTCAGATCAGCATAGACAAACATGTCTGAGATTCCTTCGAGCAAATCACTAGGCTGGTCGGCATAGACTTTGTTTTTAATGCCCTAAAAGATTAACTAAAGCTCAAAATTACCTTTTGGAGCCTCTCTTTGTTATTATTTTCTTTGCCATGACTGTCTGCAGAGCTACTCCGACTACTTTGGAAATAAGGCTCTGGGTCGACAATTCTGACCATTTTAGGGAGACCAAACCCGCAGGAAGATTTTCTCTTCTTGCTTTTTCCTTTTAAAGCTGAGTTAAGGATATATTCTTTAGACATCACTTTAGAGTTCTGATGAAACTTGTTTAATTAATAATTATGGTGAACTAATGGGGTTTTGGGGTTTTGGGGTTTTGGGGTTTTGGGG